CTGCCAAAGTTGCTCTTCGTCCGCCATGTTGTCTTTGGCGCCAAAATTTGTACTTTCGCGGGCCTGGAATCGAGCATTGTGATTGATTTATTCTTCCGCTTCCGCTTCCGACTCCGACAATGCAGTTTTCACTAGATCGTAAGCGACGGAGTAATAAGCGGAATCGGAAGAAAATGGGAACGATCTGATTCTTCCGACTCCGATTCCGTCGAGCTTACGACTCCGCTTACGACTCCCTTTTACGATTTTCACTGGGTCATAAGCGCTCTTACGACTCCGACTACGACTCCGACTCCGACTCTGTCGCTAATGAAAACCAGCCTTAAGAGAACATAATCATTAGTTACTCAAGTTCACAAGAGACTAAAACCACACAGTTGAGCAGTTTTAACCAAATTTGATAAAGATAAAAATAATCTTTTAAATTTTCTCAATTTCCCCACGAGATGGAAAGGAGTAAGAAAGTTTAGATTACTTTGTTACGTCATGAAAAATGTTTATTACGCAATAGTAATACTATAAACTAACAGTAAACCTCTTTCACTTAGCCTTATTTCTTCCAATGATTTCCCCTTTTCAAACAACGAATCTGGCCACTTTCCAAAACCCACGACATATGCTAGGGTAAGAAACCAAAACAGAGATTTGTTGTCAAGATGAACTAAATAAGAACAGAAAAATTTCATCGATAACAAAATCCATCCTCGTTTTCATTTAGCTATGCAGGCCATTGTCACCAAGCCAAGTTCTGGAATTATGGCGACACATTCGGTAACACCACAGCGAAGTATTTCCAGGACAGAAGGATAGCAAAGCTGAACAATAGTAAGGCGACACAGCCAGGAACATACGGTGATGGTAGACCTGAATTTCTCTCTGTTTACTCCAACACGCCTAACTTGGTCCTCGCTGCTCGAATGAAAACAAGAGAACGGCGGCGCAATGCTAAGAAATACTCTCTGTTTAACGAGCACGAAAGGGGACGAGAAGTAAAGAAATTTGACCAGTTATTTACTTCGGATAACTTGAGCGCGTCTAAAGTGAGCTTTGCGCTGAAGCAGCACGTACAAAAGAGGAGGTACGCTTCGCGGTGCGTCAATGCTCTACGCGCACCAACTGAGTGCATGCTACACAGACCATCGCGTTGCAAAGTGCCATGCATTATTAATATTTTATGTCATAAGGCACATATCATGCCGGGTTCACTGGCTAACATGGTTACAGCGTAGAGTTCTGCCGGCGCTGTAAGTATCTAAAACTCCTTGAGAAGCCAAGCTCAGCCTATGGGCGGTTCACAAGAAAGTCTAATGAGTCGATTTAAGACCCCACCTTTTGAATTCTGACTCAAAACTCAGAAAGTCGCTCTTAAATCTGCAAAATCAGAACAGAAAGACTATTCGTAAAATTTGGTGGCAAAAATGCACGAGCCGTGATTTAGCACTGGAAAAATTAATTCGGCGTCTTTACAATATGGAGGACATCCTGATGCTTTCAGTAAAGTGATTCTACTCTAAGGCCAGTTTTCTGAAGTCACTTGTAAAAATCTCCAACTGAGCTTAAGAACTATAATCGTGTTTGATTGTTTGTTGCATTTTTGATCAAGCTTGCTCAGAGTCATCGGGAATATTACAAGGATAGAAGTGGTACAGTTCTAAGAGTGGAGCAGTTTGTTATCCCCCGGAAAGTGCAGCCAGCAATAACCAGGTAAGATAAAATCGTAACGTAGCAGTCATTATTTAGAGCCGAGATGGAAGAGGGGGGGTGGGGGTGGGGAAGAAGGTTGGAGGATTTTGTGGGGATCACACGGTTTTCAGGGAAACCGGAGGAGGATCAGTCGTCTCTTACAGAGTTCAAAATGGAGGTCTATGGGAAATCGATTGCTAGTGATCTGAGAGATCAATAGAATGATTAGAATAATACAGAGCTTATGGGGGATTAAGTAAACTGTACTGTGATACAAACAAAATCCTTCGACCCTCTCCTCCCTACCCGGTGATAAAAAAAGGACTGGTTACCAATGCAAAACTTACATCGTAGAATTAAAGCTTGTTTAACACTTTTTTCCTTTCATGTCGGACAGAAGTCCGCTATGTGAAATGCTTGTAGAAGAGAATGGCTGTGCGTTCACCACCAATCACGGACTATCTTACGAAATGAGCCCTCCTATGGCCTGCACCTGGAGGGACCGGGGTCTCAGAGATGTGTACTTTGAGAAGAGATAAGATAAGGGACCATCATAGCTTTAGACCTGTTACAATATGAAAATATTAGAGCTGTTTTATTTTAAATCAAAGATTTTTTACTCGTAAGGCTTTATCTATTTATTTTTTGCTCCAGAGAGTTTTTTTTCTGTATTCCTTACTAATTCATCTCTTAGTTGTTTATAGAGATGCTGTCACTATCTAGTTAACGCGAAAAAATTTAATGACTGGATCAATTTACAAGACATCTCTCTTACAACGTTGCAAATCCTGCAACTATTGCGAGATTCTAAGATAAACTACAATTCTTTTAACAGGTACATTTAATATTGGAATCAAAGTCGTCTTGAAGGTTCCTATCAGCGGTGTTCGGTGCTTTACTGTGTGCGGGGCTCTGCTGGGAAAAGTGTCAACGATGTAGACTTACGATGCCTTCCCTTCACACCGCTTCCTTGCGATTTCACTTGTTACTTGCCGAGCACATTGACAACCCTGCACGGCCGTTGTTATCACTGATGGATTCAATTTTGAACGAGAGGACGTACCGACGCACTGACCCGATAAATTGAGATGAGTCCCTTGGAACTGAGAGATTAGGTGTAACCTTGACAGAGAACAGTCATTCAATTTCGTCTAGGACCTGTTGCGACAGAACACTTGGGGATGGTGGAATACTGGAATAACGTGTCACGATCTTAATTCAGACAAATGATTTCATCGTCATCACCTGACTCAACCAGGTGAGCTCGTGAGGAAAGCTTTGTACGTTTAACACTCCTGGCAAAGTCATTACCATTGCAGTAATCTACGATGTTCGATGAATTGTGGATTGTCTTTGTGATACTCTTAACGTCAGGAGGATCAGTCATTTTTCTCACCAACTGTGCCATTCTTTCCATCCAGATCTGAGGAATTCAGAGTACGCTTGCGCGTCTTCTTCCTAATCTAGGCATACCAGAAGAAAAGAAAAAGTATAATAAAATTGAACTCAAATGTCAGTGTTTCCAGCCCGATCTCAGGCTAGATATTCTGGGAGAAATAAGGATGTGTGCTCTTCTCTGTCATAGCCGTATTGCGGAAGCGACTCACTAGACGATTAACACCCAGCTTGAAAATGTCTGTTACGTCAGACTACCTGTCATTCGTCCGGTGTGCCCGTCCCTGCGATTATGTTTGCTAATCGCTTTACAATTTCCTCGACAAGTGCTCCTGTCAAGTCAGTTACTCTCACCGAGAATTCTTCCATTGCAAATTCTTCCTTAATCTCCTTTGCGGCCTTGGAATATCTCTTAGCGAAACGTAGAGCGACTGCCGTTACCTTTGACAAGTCTCCCCTTTAAAAAACTGTTATGCCAAGCTTTGGAAACAGAAAATCTCATTATAAACTTGTCGCATCTTTTTATCTGTTTTAACAAGATGTCAACTAACATTTTTCTGACAAGAATTCGTCCTGAGGTTCATGAATATCCTTTTGGCTCCTGATTTCACGACTCGCCTTGGATCCAGGTGGCACGTAGCTAATAGTTGAATATGGGGTAAAATGAAAATCTTCTCGCAACACGCCCTCTAGCAGCAAATAAACTATCACTCGTTCACAGTCTTCCCGCGAAAGATCCGGGAACTTGACTTCCCGCACGCGCAGACTCACCTGTCCTTTCCCGTTCCAGACGTCTACGAGTTTTACAGGAGTGACACGTTCCGAAAGAGAAACTGCTTGCTGGAGAATTTTGAGAATACCTTAACAGTGGTTTGTAAATGAAGATGACCCTGAACAGGAAAAATGTATCTTTTTTAAGAATCTGTTTTACAGTGCTAAAGGATTGCCTTGAACATTTGACGTGCTGCACTAACGCTGCAACTGTTTTCAATAGACTACAGAAAACTGACACTCTAAGGTATAACTACTCGTCGTCACAACTTCAACGTCTACGTGCATCTTACAAACAACGTATTCAGGATAAAAAGCGACCTTAGTCAACCGTGCTCCTTTTCTTGTTTACGAAAATCCTCGAAAAACTCTCCCGTCATAGAGCAATTTTCAACTGAGTGTCAAATTGGGGTTACTTTGCTCTTGCTTTAATTCACTCGCGATTGGTTTAGAAAAACCACACACCTCATTGACCAATCGGATTCTATCTTTCCTTGCTCACACGCGTTTTCCCGCGCTTCAGGCAGCTTGCTTGTTTTACTCGAGTTCTCATTGGTTCCTTTAATTACTTTCCTTTGTTCTGATTGACTATTCTAAAAATTTCGATACAAAATTCATCTTTAATTTTTCTAAGTCGTCATTGGCAATCCGTTTTTCAAATTTTCTCCATTCGCAACAATTCCCGTTCTTTTATCTTTTATCACTACTTAAGTTTAGCAAGCTACTGTAAACGCTGTATGCTGAAAGGACTTAATATATATTGACGTAGCTAAGCTAATATATATTGACGTAGCCCAGTCTTTTTACAGTTGTCGCACATTTCGTGGCAATCAACTGGGTTCCAGGACTCGCCGAAATGACGTCCAATAAGAGAGCGCCTGCAAACTTTTTGTTCTTGACAGTAAGCCAACATTCCATAGAGATTTTCCAAACCTGTGTAAAGAATATAGTGCAGTGTCGCGAGTTGCTTTCCGTGTAACTATTTTAAACTAACCGAAACGATTTAGAAAAGATTGCAAACGGCAAAGTTTATCCCAGCTGGCCAACACCACTGTTACATTAGCTCTGACGAAGGGCTAACGCTCGAAACGTCACCTTTTTAACTCGTTACGGTGGCCACTTTACTATTTCAACTTAGTTGATATAACCTATTACCTTTACAGTACTTGGTCACTCAATATATTTACTTAACTAATGAAGGCATACGGCTTTGAATAAAGCTTTCAAAAAGCGTAAAAAGGAGAATGAAATCTTAGTTTGAACTATAACAATCAAGAGAGCCATGAAAATTTCATCAAGAGAACAAAGGGCGACAACCAAGGCTCAAGTAACGACGAACGAATTTCCCAACGACCAAAGTTATTACCCATGATCTGAATTAATCGATTCATAATGAATGAAAAAACTTGCCAGTTTGCTTCGTGAAGACCATTGTGCTTTGTTGGAACACGTCAAAGGAACGATAGAACAAAATGCAGTGAGACTCTCTCTCATCCCTCCCTGCCCGTCAGCTTTCTTGATAAAAGTTCTCCATGGATTTGCTAAGGGAGTGATGTATAACAAACCGGACACCAGGCTTATCAATTCCCATTCCAAAAGCTACTGTAGCTACCACAACCGGGACAAATAAAGCAACAAACAACATCATAATTGATTTTAATTCTTCTTTCTCTTAAGAGTAATAGAAAAAAAGTCATCGTTGCTTTAATGGGCTCTCTTCAATATTAAGGAGTGGGTGGGTGGGTGTGGTGGCACAATGATTAGCATGCTGGTCTCTCAGTCGAGAGGTCTGCTCTCAAAGCCAGGCTGCAGCCATTTCGCTGTTTTCTTGGGTAGAACTCTTTACCCTCACAGTGCCCCTCTCCACCCAAGAGAGATCAGGTAATGGATTACGAGCAGTCACTCTTTTCCCACTAAGTCCATCACGTAAGTTAAAAAAATCAGTGGAAAGAAGAAATGATGTTAGACCAGAGTTCCGCATTGTGGGCCGTCATCAATGTTTTTCTCACTGCTTTTTTTTTTTGACTTGCATGACAGATATCTCCAACAAGAGGGGCTGCTTGTAGTCTAGTCAGCCAAGACCAAGTTAGTTCTCTGGGGATAACCTGCAGTGGACAAGCATACTACCCAGGCGGCAGCAAACGTACTTGTAGTCACTTTGTGCTTCAGAAACATTCATTTAATAAGTTTGATCCATTTAGCTTCTAAAGAAACTCAACCTTCCACGCACGCATGCCACTTCTAGGAAACGCATGAAAACGCGATTAAAATGGAATCCCAGGTTCCCTAGACCCAAGGCAGTTCGGGAATAGACGCACCACTCCGGGAAATCACGGACGCCGGAGTGGCATGCGTAAGAGTCAGCCCCACCGCACTATTAGCCACATGTGTGAATTAAGGGGTGAGCCCTGCACGCACGCATGCCACGTCTAGGAAACGCATGACAACGCAGTCAAAATGGATTCCCACGTTCAATACACCAAAGGGAGTTCGGGAATGAAGGCGCAACTCCGGGAAATCACGGACGCCGGAGTGGCATGCGTGAGAGTCAGTACCACATGCGTTTTAGCCACATGTGAGAATAAAGGGGTGAGCCCTGCACGCACGCATGCCACTTCTAGGAAACACATGACAACGCGGCCAAGATGGAATCCCAGATTCACTAGACCCAAAGCAGTTCGGCAATAGACGAAAAACTCCGGGAAATCACGGACGCAGGAGTGGCGTGCGTGAGAGTCAAGCCCACCGCACTATTAGCCACATGTGCGAATAAAGGGGTGAGCCCTGCACGCACGCATGCCGCTTCTAGGAAACGCATGACAACGCGACCAAAATGGAATCCCAGGCTCACTAGACCCAAGGCAGCTCGGGAATAGACGCACAACTCCGGGAAATCACGGAAGCTGGAGTGGTATCCGTGAGGGTCAGCCCCACCACACTATTAGCCACATGTGCGAATGAAGGGGTGAGCCCTGCACGCACGCACGCCACGTCTAGGAAACGCATGACAACGCGGCCAAAATGGTATCCCAGGTTCACTAGACCTAAGGGAGTTCAGGAATAAGGGCGCAACTCCGGGAAATTACGTACGCTGGAGTGGCTAGCGTGAGAGTCAGTCCCACCTGGGTTAAAGGCACATGTGCGAATGCAGGGGTGAGCCCTGCACGCACGCATGCCACTCCTGGGAAACGCATGACAACGCGGCCAAAAAATAATCCCAAGTTCACTAGTCCCAAGGGAGATCTGGAATAGACTCACAACTCCGGGAAATCACGGACGCCAGAGTGGCATGCGTAAGAGTCAGTCCCACTTGCGTTAAAGGCACAAAATGGAATCCCAAGTTCACTAGTCCCAAGGGAGATCTGGAATAGAC